GCTGATCTCCCTTGCTGGATCACCTTTGGGGTGTCTGTCCACTGGCTCTGGAATAAGCTCAGACCTGGCTCGTGGGAGACCAAAGCATTTCTCCTGCTGGATCTGACTTTGACTGTTGTTACTGGGACAGTTCTCCAGTCCCTTGTTCTCAAGAAGCAGGTATGAATTTGGGGCTTTTAACTTTTTGGGGAGAGGGGAGGCTTTTTAGGTTATGAATGTGTTCTGCCTGTTCCAGATGAAAGTTGAAAAATACCTGCTTTGATTAAACTTCTTTCTGTCTGAAATCATTACATGCTTTTGCTCCTGAGACTGAACCACTGGGCAGGCCCTTGTACACAGGCTTTTACTCAAAAAACACCTTTGTTAATTTACAGGTTTGCAATGTAACCACTTAGTGGTAAAACCTTTGTTGACAAGGGCTGATTTTGAGCGTGTTCTCTGTCCTGCAAGCTGCCAAAGGGAAAAGCAAACCCTTACTTGGGCATAGCTGCTGGTGTCACAGGGCTGTCTCATGTGTCGTGTAGTTTTCTCTTATTTCTTCCAAGAGATTTCATGGTTTGACTTCTGCAGAAAGCTGGAGAGCTCAAGTCTGGCACATGGGCTGGTGAGACACAGATCTGACTCTTTGCAGCTTATTTACAAATGACAGCTCCAAATTCACTCCCAGGGCATGCAGGTTCATCCTTCCTCCTTAATTCTTGTGCCATGGAATCAGGGGGAATCCTACCTGTGCATCAGGAATGGCTTGAAGATACCACTCAGGGATGTGACTGGATTAAATTGTGCCCATGCAGACACTGCAGTGTAAATTTATATAAACTATCCCCATTTTCTGCTCTGTAGAAGTGGCTCTTCCTCTCTTCCCTGGGTCTCAGCAAATCCATGGCACTGCCAGGGAATCTAGATCAAGGCTTTCTCTTAAGCAGGGTTGAGCACCTCCTGATACTGCCTTGAATTATATTTTGAACTTTGGGAAGAGGATGAGGAGGAGACCATTTGTGTCTGTCTGCCTCACTGTCACTCTTTTCCTAATCTTGCTTTCTGGGGGAAGGTAACATCCAGTTCTCCTCATGCACTGTTTCTAGTTCTTTTTCATCACTTAGTTTATTTTCTAATTGCCAAAGGAATTTAAGGATTAATTTAAATTGCAGTGTAGTTGAGATACTCCCTAACTTGTTGCTGGTATTTTTCTTTTGCCTTTTCCCTTTTCTCAAGCTCACAGGCATGAAGAGATTAATGAAGCAGTTTCTTTATACAGTTTATAGTGCAAATAAATGCTGAAGTTGCCTGTCACAGCACCACTCTCTTTGTACTAAACACCATAGGGAGAAGACTTCTTTAAGAAAATAAATAGGATGAGATCCGTGTGGAGCTGGTATTGGAACTGCCCCTCTGAGATGTGCTGTGGTGTAAGAGAGCTGGGAGTGCAGGAGTGGGACCTCTCTGAGCATCAGTTGAGACCCCAGATTTTTTCTTGGCATCTTGTCCCATTGCGTCACTTTGCTGTTCCTCCTCTCCAGAAAGGAAAATCATCAGCTGCACTTAATCCTGACATATGTTCCTTTTTAATTTGTTACGCCAGGATGGCAACTGGAGCAGCGAGGGAAATCTGGTGCACACCGCCAGCCAGAGCAGAGCCAGATGAACCCGGCGCCTTGCAGCGTGTCGGGGAGGGAGGGAAGGAGGCCTCCAGGTGTACTCACAGCTCTGGGGCTTTCTGCTCTCTTGCACACCTGGGCTCCTTAAATGGGGCACAGGAATATCTAGGGCAGGAGCACAGGCTGCTCTGTGGCTGCAGCTGCCCGTGCCCAGCTGGCAGCACGAGGGGCTGAGAGTGTGAGATCCGCACCACTGCTGGGAGGAGATGGAATTCCTGCGTGGAGCCAGGACTGAAACAGCATCTCCTTGGGTTTTGTTTTCTCTGAGTCCCCTTCCCATGGGAAATTCCTGTGTGTCTGAGGCTGGGAAGGCAGCTCTCCCACCCAGGTGTCCACATTGCTGCCGCCTCTGTCCCTGGTCACCTTGGGCAGGTTCTGGCGCAGAGCTGAGCACGTGTCACTGCAAAGTTTGGACATTTGGCAGCTTGACAGCCGAAGTGTTGTGCCATAAATATGTCTGGCCTGCTCCTGCAGGCACTGCTTGAGAAGTAACAACAGCATTTGTGTTTCTGATCCAGGTAAGGTTTGGAAGAAGGAGGTTTTGTAGGAAAACAGTGCAATGTGTCGGGTTTGGGCAGGTATCTTGCTCTGGTGCCTGGAGCATTCAGTCACTGACAACAATTATCCTTGTCAGAGTATCATCCAAAGTCTGATGGCATTTGACTCTTTGGGTGAGTGACTCAGCTGAGTGACTTGCACACGTTCTTAGGAGCATCTCTGCATCCTCCCTGTGCAAATGGAGGCAGCACCGAAAAGCTGCTCTAGGTGAGCCAGTAAATATTTCCCAGTGGTGGAAGTGAAAGAATGAGACCAAGAAGGCAGCCTTTCTCCAGGGAGACACACAGTGGATCAGTTTTAGCCCTAGGTCAATTCAAGGCTGACTCAAGCCCTTGGTCACCGCCTGGTTTGCTCAGATGATTCTCATTAAATGGACATGTTTAGGCTAAAAAAGGAGAGCTTCAGAAAGATGTTTTTTATCGGCATTTATAGATGCCCCAGGTCATTAGCAGGAAGCTTTTAAATTTAACAATCCTGTTTGCTTCTTGTCTGTTGGACTGGGCTTGGAAAGGAAGGTGTTTGCTTCTTGTGGGCTTCAGTTTTGGTGTCTCACACAGTAGCTGGTTTTATTTTGGGGTTATAAATTCTATGTGAAATTTATCTCCCTCCCTGTAAATTAACCAAATTAATTCTGCTTTCTTAATGTGCCCTAGGAACATTTTAGGAAGGAATAGGAGAGAACTTAAGTATTTCATGGCCTCCAGAGTATGGCAATATCAGGTTGTCCATGTACACCTGGGAAAGGGGGCTTCATGGGAGGAGAGGAGGCAGTGGTGACAGTGGGTCCCTGCATGCTCCTCGGGCAGCTGACACTGAGTGCTGGAGAGACACAATTAGTGCTATTTTGATAGAAAAAAATTGGGTCATTTAGCAATGTGTCCCTTCCTTGCCTGAGTGAGGGAACTCAGACTTTTTGTGGTAGAAATACCCCTAACTTTGTGTACAAAATTTCACTGTTTTGCTGCATTTATGTAGAGAGGAAAGAAAGTCAGGGGGTTTTCCCTGCTCTTGCTGATAAACTCACCTGCTGGAATAGGTGCCTACATGTAGAAATGATGTCACATTCCTACATCAATGCATGGTTATTCATCTGAATATCACATTCATGCATGGGAATGACAGGGAGGGTCTGCACATCAGGGTTCAATTGTATGGAAGCTGAAGCACGTGTACAGTAGTTTGCAATATGGGATTAATGTAGTTATTATATGTTAAAATTAATAGTAGTTTCCCTTGGCTTCAATATCTCTCTACTTCACGAAAGCAAAGCCTGGAATTTTTTCCTTTTCTTGAAAGCAGGCATAGATAATTGAAGACACAAATGTTCTGAGATGTGAGTTTTGTAGCGATTCCAACCCAAGTTCCCAAGTTATTCCACCTCTACTGACAGGGCAGGAAAACATGGATGTTCAGTGTGTATCATCCCTGCTTCCCCTTCCTGCAAACAGCAGAAAGAAGTGCTGGGAATAACAAAGTTCATTTGTTACCTTGCTGGCATTCCCCATGACTTGCCATAAGGAAAATAAATGAGGCAGCTCGGTGGCTGAGCAGGTGCTGGGGCTGACAGAGCAGATCCTAGGCAGCAGCACGAGGGCTCAGGTGCCAGTTTGTGTTTTCTCTGCTCTCAAAAGCAGCATTTTTGTTGTTGGGAGTAAAGAAGTAGCAGGTTTGGATTGTATTTCAGTGCAGAATTTTGCCACCTATTCAGCACTCAATAGGAATGTAGCATTTCATCGTTTGCCCAGGCTCAAAAGCTGAGTTTCTTGCAGCTGACAGATACTGGTAAGAGCTGTGGATAACAAATTAGATGGTAGTGGTCCCAAGCCCAGGTTGCATCACTGAGTGGTGGAAGTTGAGTTGAGCCTCCCTCACAGCCTGAACTGGGGTGCAGCTGGATGTGCCTGGGACCTGACCATGTTCCTGGGGGGGACAAGCTGCTCACATCTCGTTAGTGAGTTAATTGAGCAAGGGGAGGGGCAGCTTGAAGGACAGGGAGTGAGGACCATCATCTCAGAGGGATGATTTCTTTGGGGTTACGGGCACTGGAGACACTGGCAGTGCAATACAGAGCACCCCACAGGAACTTGGCTTTGGAGATCCTTAGGCTTTGTCTGCTGAGCTGTCTGCATTTTATAAACCAAAAATACCCCAAAACACCCCTCTCAAAAAAAAAAATAATCCCAGTATTATGTTAGGATGCTTCTTCCTTCTATCTTGTGAAGCTGATCCCAGCCACTGGAGCTGGGAGTGTGGTCACCCTGTTCCCCTGAGCTGGGACATCCCTCAAGGCTGGAAAGGAAGCTGCAGTTTGAGCTGGTGGTAGATTAGACACCAGAGACTGCACACAGGAGTGGGGCTGTGAGTAACTGATATCAGCTCATCTCTACAACCCCAGGCCCATTCCAGTCACTTCTGGCACAGCCCAAGTCCAGAGTGCTGCTTGCCTGGCTCCCAGAGTTTGGGATTCCTCTGGAAAGGCTCAGCGAGGTGTGTACCAGAGAGATCTTTAACAGGGGCAAAGCAAATTGACAGAAACACTTTGAAAAGCATCTTTGGGCATGAGGGGTGAGGAGATGGAGTCAGGAGACTGGGATGGTGAGCACAGACATCACAGGCATGACCCCTGGTGCCTGTCCCCAGCTCGGGGCCCTCCAGGGCAGCGTGGGAGCCTTATGTGACTTCCCCCAGCTCTTATCTTCACCCCTGCAACTGTTCCCGGCATGCTGGGCGGGGAAATGCGTGTCAGTGACTGTCACTAAGCCTTGCCACCTTCTCTTGGTACAGTTGCTGGTGAGAAGAGGGTGCCAGTGATGCCCGGATCGCCCGTGGAAGTGAAGATACAGTCCAGGTCCTCTCCTCCCAACATGCCGCCGCTGCCCCCCGTCAACGCCGGCGGCCCCCGGCCCGTGTCCTTCACTCCGACTGCACGTAAGCCCGGCTTAGCTCGGTACTGCTGCTTGTGCTGGGAGCAGCTGCAGCCAGCAGGGCAGGCTGTGCTCACAGAGCTCCTGCCCCGGGATGTCCCAGCCATCAGGCAGGGCACGGCGGGTGATGCTGCCTGGCTGTGCGGGAGGGGACATCGGGGCTTTCCTGCAGTTCTGTAGCGCATGCAGGACATAAAACAGGCTGTGTAACCCCCCTTTGCCCCCCTGCCTGCTCCTGCCTTGCTCCTGGTGCTGTCTTGAGTCTTTCTCTTTGCAGGTGCAGCCTTGATTTCCACCATAAACTCCTTAAGAAATTGAATCTTTTATCAGGTCAGCTTCAAGCAAGCCAAGAGCTGGGCTTTCCTCTTTATCTTTTGGAGGAGTTAATTCCCACTCTGCTATATCTCAGTTTGCAGACAGCATTCCTGCAGCTGAGATTAGAAAGTTTTTCATTTTTTTAATTTCCCAGCCTTGAAAATTCCTTGCTGTCCATCCAGATTCTCTTTTTTCCATCTTCTCTTTATAATCTTTCCTATTAAGCTAGTCAGTCCTGATCCTGCCCAGGTGTAGCACAGCCTTACACCCACTTCTTCTAGCTGAGTGTTGCTCAGAGGTGACTCCATGGATGGAAAGGACCTTCAGCCTTTTCTTATGGCCTAGAAAGGGTCTTTTTTTTTCCTTTTTTAGCCAATATTTAAGCCATTTAATGTATTTTTAAAAGCATTGTTCCAGAGCAAAGCTCCTTTACTTTGTTGGGCATGGAGTTATCTGACCCCCACACATGGCATGTACATATTTTCCATGCTCTCCTCACCCCTTTTCCCTGCACAGAGTGTTCCCTAGCTGGTTCTGCGTTGCTGTGCTGTACATGACAGTGTCTGGGCTATCTCAGAGTTCCATGCTGGCAGTGGGGTTTGCAGATTTCCAGCCCAGCCTCCTGGAGGGACACACTGTGATGTGCTGGCAGCAGCACTAATCACTGGGTTATCCCACCAGACACATTGTCCCCATCTTTATGTGCTCAGGCGTTTTTAATGGCTCCCCTTTTGCTCAGGCAGAAAAAGACCATTAGCAAAGTGACAGAAATTAATTTTTCCAATGAGGATGCTTGGCACGCTGTTAAGGGCCAAGAAGCCTGAATCTGCTGATTGCAGATGACTTAATTGCCTCTTTCCAAGACACGTGAGAGATGTGACCTATGGTGAAGTTCATTCTTGCTTTTTCATTTCTCAGTTGCACCAGAGGGTCTTGATCACTCAGTGGGGGTGTGACCTGCCCTGACTTGGGCAGGTGAGGTGGAGCAAAGCCATGCCTGCCTGTGGATCACTAGCACAGGGTTGGAGAAGCAGCAAAACCTTTGACTGTGTAGGACCTAGGGCAGAATTTAAGAGTAGCCTTAGATGATGACTTTGTTCCCAGGAATTTTGTCATCCTGCTGTCCCCAAACCAGCAATCTCACTGGTCTTGGCAGACTGCCTTGCTTGTTCCAGCACTGTGCACTCACCTGGAAGTGGAGGTGCCAGCTCTGCTGTGTGGTCTGTGGTGGAACAGATCCTGGTGATGTGCAGGATCAGATAACTGCCAGCTGCCCTGTGGTGGTGCCGTTGGCAGAGGGTCGGGAGGGCTGAGCCCAAAAACGCAGCGTGGTCACGGAGCCGTGTCCAACGGCATCCCCTGGCCACCAGCATCCTCTGCTCCCTCCTTGGCAGCCTCTCCCGAGGGTCCCCCGCAGCCCCAGGGGTGTCTCACAGCCCCTTTCTCCTGAGCTATAAATAGAGCCTGTTGCTCTCCCCAGACTTTCATCTGAAAGAATAAGAGGAAGTGAAATAGAGAAGGGGGAAAGCGCCTCAGTTGTGGCCGCCGGAGAGCACGGAGCTGCACAGCCTTTTCTGTTTGAGAGGAGCTTCTCTTGGCAGCTTCACCCTATTTATAACCCTTTTAGAGTGAAATAAAGGCCTTTATGAGTAATTACCAGAAAGGCCTTGCCTTTCACACAGCTCTGGTGTACCCTGTGGAGCTGTACCTGTGGGTACATCCTGATGTCCCTGTTGCTTTGCTGATTTGGGAGTGTGTGTGAAGAACAGGAGTTTTTCAGGTTGCTTTGCTCCATAACAAAAGTCATGAGCTCACATTTTGTTTGTACCTCCATCCTCTCAGTGCTAGCCTTCACCTTCATGTCATCATCTGTCTATGAGGGCTGTCACCTCTTGGTTAGCAGGAACCACCTTTGTTGGTCTCTGTAGCCTTATCTTTCCTTGAATCTTAACTGACTCTGGTTCAGTTTCCCTCCTGTGCTCACCGCCAAGGTCCAGGTGTGTGGAGCCTTTCTAGCCTTCAACTCTGGCATGCCCCAGAGTGGTTTAACTGTTCAAGTACCTCCTGGCTTCTCTGAAAAACCCCTCACTGGGTTCATCAGGATTTGCTATGATCCTCGTGAAACTGCAGCAGAAATGATGGCATCTTTTCTCACAAGTTTCTGCTCCTCCAACAGGCAAGGGGCAGCTCTGCCAGGTGGTTTCAGCGCTTCTCTGAACACCATCTCTTGGAATGGTTTTATACTTTGTGGCCCCCTTGTCAGCACTTAAATCCATAAGGGATTCGGGGCTGGGTTTTTAAGGATAAACGCTGTGGATCTGCTATAACTCTATTTCCAGTGATGTGCTTTTCACTCTGAAATTCTGGGTTTATACCGAGCTGGGGCCTCAGTTCACAGCTGCTCATCAGATATGGTTCAACATTGCACAACCACAGCGTGGAGATGTCAACAATTTATCCTAATCCCTTGCCGAGTTCCCAAACTTCCAGCCCTTCAGTCTGTTTCAACATGCTCACCACTTACAGGAAGGCAAAGTTGCAGATGGGACCAGGTTGGAGAAAAACAACTGTGTTTGCAAAACTCCCTGTAAATCCCCAGGGAGGGATGGCAGGCACAGGGCAGGCTCTGCCAGTCTTCTCCAGTGAGGTGGAGCCACCTGAGCTGCCCCTCAGCAGCAGCAGCAGCCTCCTGGCTGGAGGATGGATCCACTTCAGCACCAGACCACAGGGATGTGCCCATCTGGTGCTCAGCATTGCTTCTGTCTCACCTTTGCAGTGCCCAACGGAATAAACCATTCCCCCCCGACACTGAACGGGGCCCCATCCCCACCCCAGAGGTTCAGCAACGGCCCTTCCTCATCCTCCTCCTCCTCACTGACCAACCAGCAGCTCCCAGCCACGTGTGGAGCCCGGCAGCTCAGCAAGCTGAAGCGCTTCCTGACCACCCTGCAGCAGTTTGGGAATGACATCTCCCCAGAGATCGGGGAGAAGGTCCGGACCCTCGTTCTGGCCCTCGTGGTAAGTCCTGCACTGTCCCAGGCTGCCTGACTTTCCCCAGGTCCTGGCACACAATGTCAGCTGTTTGCATCTTTGCTGAGCAGAACTCTTATGTTTGTGCTTCCTGAGAAACTCGGTGTAATTTCCCCTGCCTTTGCTATGTTTCAAAAAGCTGTTGTCCAGTGGCTTAGGCACAAGCTTGTGTGCAGCTAAACTTAAGGAAAGCTGGAAGGAATTGGACAAAGCTTTTCTGTAAATCATGGAATCACAGAATGGTTTGATTTGGGACCTTAAAGATCATCTCATTCCTAACCCCTGCCGTGAGAGTGCCCTTCAAACCAAATGAACAGGTATTCTTGCTGTAGAATTGTATCAATTGTTTGCATTATACAGAATAACTGGGAGAAATACTGTCCAGTGCATTAGACATGATACTCCACATGCTTTACAAAGGCATGGAATGACAGGACAAGAGGAATGGCTGTAAACTGAAAAAGAGGAGGTTTGGATTGCATATTAGGAAGAAATTCTTCCCTGTGAGGGTGGGGTGCCCAGAGCAGCTGTGGCTGCCCCTGGATCCCTGGCAGTGCCCAAGGCCAGGCTGGACAGGGCTGGAGCAGCCTGGGACGGTGGAAGGTGTCCCTGCCCATGGCAGGGTGGAATGAGATGGCCTTTAAGAACATTTCCAACCAAAACCATTCTGTGAGCTTGGACTGAGGCCCTGGAGCCTTGGGCAGCTGTGGTCCCATGGGGCACCCAGTGGGGCTTCTGCACTGAGCTCTGCTTTTTGGCACATTTTCTTTTGAGGCTCAGCAGGCACTGAAGGGAGCTAGATTGCAGCAGCCTGGAGCATTTCTGCTTCCAAAGCAAACCTGAGTCTGTCCTTATCCTCAGGGCCACTCTCAGGCCTTAAGCAATAGATGTAAAATGCTACTGCTGCATTTATGTAGCATATTTAATTACATGGATGTAGGGTAGTACCTTAGCCTGCCCTTTTGGGGAGGGAAGGAGAAGCTGTCCAGGTCCCTTTGGCTGTTGTTCTCACCCCAGATTGTGCTTATTGCTTCAGGGCTGAGTGTTGTATGTGCAATTATCAAATGCTGCTGTCCCAGGGATTCCCCAGCCTGAGCAGCCTTGGGGGAGACAGGAGAGGAGAGGACCACAGTGAACAGAGGGCTGATGAGACTCCATGGATGGGTTAGATGAGGAGAACTGAAGGTGTGCAGTTCTGAGCAGCTGGGATCAAAGTCTGACTCTCCACAGCCTGCCCCAGCATGCAGTAGATGCCAGCTGGGTCCTGCTGCCCTGGAGTCAGCCTCTGCCTCCCACTCTGGGGCTGGGGCGTGCTGAGCCAGGCAGTTCCCACCCCTCTCCTAGTGCAGCATTCCTGCTCTGCTGGCCTGAGCCTTGCTGGCTGCATCCAGCAGGATCCAATGCAAACACTGTCAGTCCTGGAGCGGCAGATGCTGTCTCCCTTCCAGTTCTGTTCATTTGGAGCCATTTCCCACATGTCTAAAAATAAAAACAAATTGCCATTTCATTTCTTAATTTCTTTTCTCAGAACTCAACGGTGACAATCGAGGAATTTCACTGCAAGCTGCAAGAGGCGACCAACTTCCCCCTCCGGCCATTTGTGATCCCCTTCCTGAAGGTGACAGAGAGCTGCTGGGGCTTGCTGACACTCCTTGTGCCCCTTGGCACTGTGACATTGCTGGGAGAGCTCTCCTTGCAAGCACCACAGCAATTCTGGAGCCCAAGACAGACTGCACAGGGCGTAGCGCTGGCCGTGTGGGACTGGCTGTCATTGTGCTGTGTGCCACATATGTCTGCTTGTGTGCTGGAGATAAAGGAGGCAAACCAAGCTCCATGTGGCAGCTTCTGAGCCTATAATCTTATTTGCAAATGTTCAGATCTAGAATGTTTGAAGTGCTGGCACACGGAGTCTGTCTGGGATGGTTAAATCACAGAATTGCGGGATGGTTAAATCACAGAATTGCAGGATGGTTTGGGTTGGAAGGGACATTAAAGCCCATCTCATTCCAGCCTCCTGCCATGGGCAGGGACACCTTCCACTAGACCAGGTTCCTCCAAGCCCTGTCCAACCTTACTTTGAGCACTTCAAGGAATAAGGATTCCATAACATCTCTGAGTAACTAGATGCTGGAAGCACACAGTGCTTCCTGTAACACTAGGATTTTGGGTCCACCATCATCATCAGGCTCCTGGGAAAATACAGGTAAATCTGACAGTGCAGACAGCAGGAGCTGGGGGATCCTGAGTGGGGGTCATGGGTCACAGATGTTACTGCTCTGAGGTACTAATGAAGACCAAACCTTTTGGAACAGCTGGAAACCCCCCTGCCCTGCTGTAATCCAGCCCTGTGCTTGTTCTCCAGGCCAACCTCCCTCTGCTGCAGCGGGAGCTGCTGCACTGTGCCCGCGCTGCCAAGCAAACGCCCTCCCAGTACCTGGCACAGCACGAGCACATCCTGCTCAACACCAACACCACGTCTCCCGCTGACTCCTCCGAGCTGCTCATCGAGGTCAATGGCAATGGCAAGAGGCACAGTCCAGACAGGTGAAAAACAGCTTTTGTCACTCTGCTCAGTTGTTGAAGTCATGACTTTTGTTTTATCTTTGCTGCTGACAAAGCTTTAAGCAGCATCCAGGATCTTATCACTCCCAACAACTATTCTGGCCGTTCTAAGACTCCAATGACTGCTCCTACTGCACTATGAATTCAGGTTGGGTTTCTCTTTCAGGCAGGGTGTGTCCCAGAGGGACTTTTGGGTAGCACTGAAAAGCCTGAGCCAGAGAGCTGAGCAGTTTCCCACCCCCAAAGCAATGAGCGGAGGCATTGGCAGGGCTGGGAAGGATGCGCTTCATTTTCACCACGTTTTATTCCAAGATAAAAGTTGTTATGCAATTATGTGGAGCATGCCTCAAATTTATAAAAACTGTGAAATTTTAATTTGGTCATGCTCAGAGAGATGAATCACAACACTCAGGCATCCTGAACCCTTTTCTTTCACGGGGTCGCTTTGTGCACCGCCTCACAAATTGAGCGCATTTGTTTGAGCTCTCTGCATTTACCCCGTGGTAAAATCACTGCTGCCCAAACCCTGCTGATTCCAAATCTGCATCTTTCTGAGTACATTTGTGGGATGCTAAGGAAAGCCTGTTTCTGTTGGTGTGATTGCAGGAGGGAAGACAGCAGCTTTGAGAGGGAGCCGCTGCCAACAGAGCCTCCGGCCAAGAGGGTTTGCACCATCAGCCCCGCGCCCCGGCACAGCCCTGCCCTCACCATCCCCCTGATGAACCCCAGCGGGCAGTTCCACCCCACCCCACCACCCCTCCAGCACTACACCTTGGAAGATATTGCCACCTCCCACCTCTACAGGGACCCCAGCAAGATGCTGGAGCACAGAGAGATCCGAGACAGGCACAGTGGGCTTGGTGAGAGCCTGGAGAGTTCCTGGTTGAGCTTTGGTGTTGATGTCTGCTTGGCCACTCATGCCCAAAGATGGCTGATGCTGGGCAGATCCTCACAGCTCAGTCTTTGCAGGGAGTTCAGAGGAAACAGCTCCCCATGGGAAGTTACAGACAGGAGGATTGAGAGTTTGTATTTCCCTGTATGAAGGCTGGAGTCTCTGAGGATGAGGAGGAAGGACTTAGTGTGTGAGTTGAGTGTAGCCAACCCAGCAGACAGAAAGAGAGGACAGGGAAATAGAAATTAACTTTTCCAAGAGCTCCAAAGCAAGAGAGTAGAGATTGACCCCCTGCCCTGTTTCTCCAAGGGATGTGTGGGAGGTGCATGATGTGTTTCCAACACAACAGCCTGAATCACGGGCTCTGAGCTGCTGTGAGTTTATAACAGGAGAACCAGCTCCACAAACAGGTCAGAACTGGAGCCACAAGTGGATTGTAGCAATTCCCAGACAGTGAAGCAGACAGGGATAAAAAAGCACCAGCATGAATTACCCCTGTAGAGCTGCCACCTGGAGATGTGTTTTTAAATCCCAGCTCTGTGGAGCTGGAACTAGAGCTCTTTATTCTTGCTTTGGGGCCACTTCTCTCTCCACTGGTCCATCTAATCCCTCTGTGTCTGTGTTGTGTTGCAGGGTTGAATGGAGGCTACCAGGACGAGCTGGTGGATCACCGCCTGACAGAGAGGGAGTGGGCAGATGAGTGGAAGCATCTCGATCACGTAAGGAACAGCAGGGGCTGTGGGAAGCAGCAACCCAGTGTTCCACCTGCTCCAGTTGGTGATTTCCTTGTTGATACCACATCCAGGCTCTCCTGGTGGCTGGTGGAGAAACAAGCCACAACAAGCAGGTGGATGCTGAGAGGAGCTGTAGCACTTCCTGGCAGGTTTCCTCTGCCCATGGTCAGTGGAAACTAAAATTGGTGTGGATGAAGTGTTTGGAGCTGGGGAGCTTCTCCTGCAGAGCATGGCCAGGTGCTGCCATGGCTGGCTCAGCAACCAAACTCAGCTTTATCCCCGCTGGGATCTTTTCTGCCCCAGCCCTGGGCAGCAAAGGTGCACAGAATGCACTAAGTGCAGTCAGGATAGGGACTTAGAAAATGAGTAAACCTATCATTACTGTATTTTAAGACTTTTTTTCCCTGAGGTGCCAGCCTTTTATGGACCAAAAAAAGGCACCAACAGCAAGACCTGGTGCTTCTGGCAGATTTTATGCTGAGCATTTTCCTTCTGAGCAAGGCAGCTCCTCCAGGCACTTCACTGCTGTTTCTGTTAAAGAGATGGGATTAAAATTCAGCTTTGATCATAAATGCAGAGAGACCTCACAGTTTAAAGCTAATGGGGTTTTTTGAGGGAATGGTGTTGGGGTGGAGCAGAGGCCCAGTAGCTGAATATTTGGAGTTGGACTGTGACCCCAGAGCACTGACACCAGCATAACCAACCCTAATCCCATAGTGTCAGAATCTGAGGTATTGATGATCCCAAGATTGTAGAAAGTCTCTGTCTTTCTGCCCCCCTGCCAAAGCAGAAGCCATAATTGGTCTGTGCTGGTTTCCAGGTTGTTTATTCTGTTGATCTCTCACATGTTCTGCTGCCCTGCCCAGCTCTGTCCTGCAGGGCAGCGTGTGGGGCTCTGCCCTCAGTGGGATGTGACAAACATTAAATACCAGAAACTCCCTGGGCTGGATTTACAAGAACGTGCCAATATCTGTCACCCATGTTGAACAGTGTGTCCCCAGCCTGAACCAACAGAAAAATGCCAACACCACAGTGAAACATGGAGGGCATGAAGAAGGAGAAAAAGGACAAGGCACACCCAATTTCCTCCATCTTGTCTCCTTTGGACCCCTAATCTAGAATCCTAAAATTTTACTTTTGCACCCACGCCACACTTAATTATTACTGATATCAAACACTCAGAGCTGGTAATTCATCCTGTAAGATTGAAAACTCTTTTGCATGGACAGAGATCACAGCCAGTGTCTCTTTGGGCTCTGTCCCGGGGGGTTCCTGACCCCTGCCAGGGCAGCCAGAGGGAAGCCCTGGATTCCCACACCATAGGAAAGTGGTGGGGTTTTCCTCTCCACTTTTAGGAGCGTGTCCTGGAGGTATTGAGCCACCTCTTGTGGTGACCGTCCCTAGTGCCGTGTCCTTGGGCACGGCACCATCCTGACTCCTGCGAAACCACCTCGCTCTTGTCTCATCTGCCTGGGACGGTCCCTCCGGGGTGAAGTCCAGCACGACTGAGACCCTTTCCCCCCGCAGGCCCTGAACTGCATCATGGAGATGGTGGAGAAGACGCGGCGCTCCATGGCGGTGCTGCGGCGCTGCCAGGAGGCCGACAGGGAGGAGCTCAACTACTGGAAGCGGCGCTGCTCCGAGACGGCCGAGCCGCGCAAGGCGGGCGCCGAGCTGCTCAGCCGCCAGCACAGCCCCGCCAGCGCCGACTCCGCGGGCAGCGGTGAGCTGGGCACGCAGGGATGGGTGGGCACTCCTGCCCGTCATGGGAAGAGCTGGGTTAGGCACTGCCGTGGGTGTGACAGCCTGGCCAGACACAGAGAAAGCTCCATAAGTTTTCTCACGAATAGGCCTGGGAGGCTTTAGGGAGCTGGAGATAAACAGTGATAGGCAAATATTAAAACAGTCTGCAGGTGGTGGTTTTTAACAATCTGTTCCGTGTTTTTCTCATAAGGTTGTTTACAAATGGGTGTCTTGTTAATTAGCCAATCGTGTGGAATGTATTGATTAAATGACCAGTCAGGTGCACCTGTAGTGAACTAAGGTATAAAAGAAGAGATGATAAAATAAATGGGGCTTTTGCCATTTTGCCTTCTAAAAAACAAAAATAAACCAAACCATAACAAAAAAAAACCAGGCTGGTACATCCACACAGTGCTTAAATATTTTTCGCAAGGATTTGCACAGAGACAACACAGAAAGCAGTTTTTGTCAGTGTCAAAAGGCACCTTTGCTCATGCTTTCCTTGTCACTGCTGGCCAAAGTTGGTCAAAAGCTGGAGGTGAAAAGGTAGGGAAGAGGTGTTAGTCTCCACCACTCTCCCCCTTCCAGTCCCTCTTGCCTGAAGGATTTTAAATGTCAAGGTCTATTTATTCTAAAAATACCAAAGGCTTTTGTAAGTGTAATAGCTACCTGTGTTACTAATTCTATTTTTGTATCATGAGTCAACTTTATCAAAGGTGACTGGTTTCCCCATCCAGTATGCAGAGCTTTGACCCTAAGAAAAAACAAGTCTAAAATGTTGATTTATTTCAATGTAATTCTGATTTCCATCCAAACAAACCCACTGCAAATCAAGTTCTGGGGAAAAAACCCTCTGATTATTCGGTAATAAAAATGGATTTCTTCCAGCAAGAATAAATGTCAATTTGATGTATATTCTACTTGTTTGCATACAAAATATAGAGTGAATCCTTCTGCAAGGAATCCAAGTGCCCCTGGTTCCAGTTGCCACCAAGCCTGAGGAGCAGTGGGTGTATGTGACAGCCTGGTGGGCATAGCCAGCTTTTAGCCCTTCTATTTTTAAGTATATCATGACTAATACACTTCAGCCCCATGTTGTTAAAGGTGATAGAATTAAAAATTTTTATATAAATTTGGAAAGCTGTTGCTTTCTCCCCTTGTGGGACCTAGGGATAATTTTCAAGCTCTATTGCTCTTGTGAGAAGGTTCAGTTAAGCATCAAGCAGCATCTCCAGGTGTCGTGGAGGACAGTTTGTCCGTCAGTTCAAGCCTTTGAATTGCCCTGGGATTGGGAAGTGCTGTGCTTTGTGAAAACTGCTGGTGTGCAGATTGATGCTCACAGCCTCTGGACAGTGCAGAAGGTGGATAACATGCATTTATAAGCATTGTCTGTTGTTTTAGAGTACAGACAGGAGATAGGTTATAGAGTCATAAATTATGCAAGGTGCTAATTAAATGTTGTAATTTATCATCTGAGTGTTTGAGGAGTGGCTTTAACCATAGGAATCCTCTGCTTTGAGTTTTAATGGGTCAATCCTTCCCTGCCCCATGATGTCCTGAGCTACCACTGGGCACGTGAGGCAGCTGGGTGGGATGAGGCTTTGCCGACCTTTCCCTGTGTCCCTTGCTCCAGCAGATTCCCTGCGGGAGTTCAGCAGCAGGTCGGGAACGGGCTACGTCACGGAGGAGATTTGGAAAAAAGCCGGTGAGTGTTGGGGTGACCCGGCCGGGATCCTGCCGCATCGCCCGGGGTGGACACAAAACACACATGCTGCCATTCTGGTGTGCAGGAGCAGCAGGAGCCCAGCTGCAGCAACGCCCCGGGATGTGCACATCTGGCTGCCATCGTCCCCACCCTGGCTGTCCCAAAGGGCTCTGCTCCTCTGTGGTGCCACGGGGATCCCGTGGGACTGAGCCTGGCCTTGCCGCTCGTTGGTGCTGGGAACACGCTGCTGGAGCTGTGCTGCTCTGGGAGGCTCCCTGACTGCCAGGGTGGGTGGGTGAGGCTGCTCTTTCCTTCCAGAAGAAGCTGTGAACGAGGTGAAGCGGCAGGCCATGTCGGAGGTGCAGAAGGCGGTGGCCGAGGCGGAGCAGAAGGCGTTTGAGATGATCGCGTCGGAGCGGGCGCGCATGGAGCAGACCATCGCCGACGCCAAGCGCCAGGCCACCGAGGATGCCTTCCTCGTCATCAACGAGCAGGAGGAGTCCACCGAGGTGAGCTGCCCGGGGACAGCCTGGGAGGGCTTTCCAAGGCTGCAGAGCCTCCAGGTCAAGCATGCAGGGCCCCCACGCCTTTTCACAGAGTCACAGATCGCACAATGGGTTGGGTTGGAAGAGACCTCAAAGATCATCTCATTCCAAGCCCCTGCCATGAGCAGGGACACCTTCCACTAGGCCAGGGTGCTGTAAACTCCAGTCTCCAACACCTTTTCCTTTTAGAAGTCTCTCTCCAATCAATAACCAAACAACGCACCAATATAATCAAAAATCCTTTCTAGGTTTTGCTGGCAAGGAGTCAGCCTGAACAGTGTCTGTGGACACGTGTGTGTGCAACCACTGGGCACCCTGAGCTGGAGTCCGTATAATCACCAGGGATTTTGTGGGATTGACAGAGGTGTAGAAGCAAAGAGAAAAGGAAGCTGGTGCATGCAGCAGTTTAGCTCAGAAATTATGGTGGGGTACTTGATCTTTGCAGGAAAGAAATTGCTGTTTGTGGGCTTGAAAGTAGGGCAGGGCAGAAGCTGGGCTGCAGGAAAAGCTCTTGCACATTCCTGGTGGTCTGTACCACACTTCCATGTTGGAAAAGAAGGGATAGATCTTGGTTTGTCATAGCCAGTGCCACATGCTGAATGGATGCCTCAGAGAATCTCTTTCTACTCTTCAATCATCAATCAGCCTCCCCGTTGCTTAACAGGAAGTTCACTTGGTAGATCTTTTGAGATTTTGGGCAAGGGGAATCACATGGCTCATTCCTGCACTACCACATCCCATCCATGTGGGCTTTGCTTCATATTTTAATTTCTCTACACGTACAAGAGCAGAGGGTTTGTGTCTGCTGAGCACAAATCTGATGGGACCATGCTCTCTTTGTGTCTGCTGGCGTGTGGGGGCAGCAGGTCCATCCCCTCCTCCTGGTGGTTTTCAGCTCAGCTGGGACTCAGCACGTGTGGCCAGAACCATGGAATTACTAGGTGTCATTCCAGAGAATTATGTCCATACTGCAATTCCCAATGAAATTGCTGAGGGTTGAACGCACCAGTCGCATGATGGGAGTGGGTGGAACTGCTCAGGAAGCCATGGAAGGAATGAGGCAAGTAGTGATTTCTCCATAGGGGAATAGCAGAGGAGTGTCCTCCTCCTCCAGCTGTGCTGAGGAGCAGTCTGGGACCTCGAGAGCTGCTGAGCACCCCTGTGCAAGCCCTAGAGCCCCTGTCTAAAAGCTGTCCTGTGTTCTGGCACATCTTGTAACCTTTGCAACACAGTTGAAAAACACTTGAAGTGTAAACAGCTGCAAAGCAGTGACCCAGTTTTCCAAGAGCAACCACAGCCTTTGTTGGGGGCTTTTTGGTCACAAGTCCTGGAAAGTGGAGGACCCCTGGGGACACAGAGGCTCTGGAGCAGCTCACTCCAAAGTGAACCGGTCAGGTGCTTCACTGTCAGGACATAAATCATCACTGTGAGCTGGTGGCTCCAGTGCCGAGCCTGGGAGTGGGAATCTCCCAGCCCTTCCCCACAGCAGGGCTGCCTGGTAGAGCCCAGCATCTCCCAGCACCCCGCTCCCACAGCTCTTTGATGGCGGTCGCAGCAGCCACATCCCCACAAAGGCCAGCTCTGACAGAAGCTGTGTTCCCTCAGCTGAGCTTCCCTCCCTGTATGTGTTTGCTACGCCCTGGTCCAGCTGCAGGGAAGCTGCTCTGCCGTTCCTCCCCTCCCTGGAGCAGCTGCAGCCCTCGCTCCAGCGCTGGCCCCTTGCCCCGCGCTCCGAGGGAAGCGGTGGCACGCGGGAGCCACCAGCTGACACCTCTCCCGGCGGCCAGAGGGGCTTTGCTCCGCTTCCAGGTTGAAGCTCAAGCTCTGGCAGTGTTTCCACCTGGCTGGGAGGCTTTCAGATGAGCATTTGCTCTTCCAAATTGGCCTGCTCCAACCTCTTGTGCAGCGAGGCAGGGTGCGGAGCAAATGGTGCCTGTGCAGCGCGCCGTGATCCCTGCGGAGAGCGCTTGGCTGGGAGCGAGACCAAAATAGAGCTGCTTAAAACAGGAAATAAAAAGGCCCAATAGCAGCATCTGCAGCGTGTTTTTTCAGCCCATGCCTGCTGTTTCCTCTCTGTATTAGGGTGGGTCTAGGGGAGAGGATGTGCCTGGAGCAGTGTGACAGCGGCTGTGGGCAAAGGGCAGCAGGGGTTAGAACTGTTGGCAAAGAGCTGGGAAATAGCGGGAATTAATGGATTGCTCGTTTTCATATTCTCAAATCTGGGCCAGAGGGGATGAACAGTCCCCTCCAGAGCTCAGTCAGCACCATCCTGCAGCTCCTAGGGAAAGGAAACTCGTTTCAAGCACAGTGTCTTTGGTCTTGCAGAGCTGCTGGAACTGCGGCCGCAAGGCCAGCGAGACGTGCAGCGGCTGCAACATCGCCCGGTACTGCGGCTCCTTCTGCCAGCACAAGGACTGGGAGAGGCACCACCGCATCTGTGGGCAAGGCCTGCACGGCCAGAGCAAGCCCCTGGGCCTGCCCACGGGCCGGGTGGCAGCGGCGGCCAAGAGCCTCGATGGCATCCCCAGCCCAGCCCTGGAGAAAACCTCGGCCACCACCTCGCGCTCCTCCACGCCAGCATCCGTGACAGCCATAGACACGAACGGACTCTAGGAGGGAGGCTTTGCTTCACTCCCCTGGATGAGTTTCCCTGGGTTTTTTTAAGCTGAAAAAGCCCCTGCAGCAACTGTTACCACTTGACAAATTTGATGTATCGGAATGCCGACACTCCGGCTTTGCCCTCTCATCCTGCCCTTTCCTTTGTGGCTCGTGAACTGGGGTGAGCCTCACCTGCAGCATCTCCCTGCTCCTCTCAGGGGGACACCAGAGCAGCGTCAGGACCTGAGGGACACTGGGCACCCGCTCAGGGGACCTGGACTGGGGCAGAGCGCTGGCACGCGCCGGAGATGCTGAGAGTGTGGTGCCCAAGCAGGGAGCCCTGTCCCTGTGGCATGCTCAGGCTCGCTTCCCAAGGTGTCAGAGCCACCACTGCTCCTCCTGGCACCTTTCCTCCATAACACCCAGCGTTTGTTCCCTGCTCCCAGGCAGCTGTGCCTCAGGTGGCTGTGTGGGCCTGTTGTTGCTGTGAACAGACCAGAGCCAATTTCCCAGCAGGAGCATCTCATCCTCTGCAATGGCCAAAGCTGAGCCCACTTCTGCCTCCAGGCTGGCAGCTGAGGGTTGCAGAGAGGGAGGAGAGGATTTGTCTGCTATAAAACAAGAGGCAGTGGCAGGGAGGTGCTGCTGGATGGCCTGGATTTCATCTCAGTCTGTGGTGAGACAGACAGTTGGGTGTTTCCTGGGTGGGGCCTGTGCTGGGGGAACACGTGCACAGCAGATCTGGGCTGGATGCAGGTGCCCTTTCCACCTGGGGGCCGTTGTTTTGTTTTTTCACTGCCTGGAAGCTGCTGGTTTGTGAGTTCCTGCTGTTGTTTTGAGCCCAGGGATCCTCGCTGGTGCAAGGGGTTATTTACAGCCTGTGCTCTCCACTCACATCGGCCACGCTGGTAAAAGAAAGGCAGGACTGGGTGTCCTGTATCTGTTCTTATCCCCAGCTCCAGGAGCTTCCTGCAGTGCTGCATCCAGAGATGCCCAGGGATGTGCATCCACCTTCAGAGATGATCCTGAAACCACAGGATCAGAGGATCCCAAAAGCAGAGGAAAACGAGGCCCCTGGGGAAGGGGCCAGCCTGGGGAGCTCCATCCATCCCAGAGTCCCTGCAGTGGGGTGGGAGGAGGGGTTGGAGGGACCCAGGGCAGTGCAGGCTGTGACAGCACAGCCCTGCAGCAGGGCTGCCAGGAGTGTCACACAGGGTGGCAGTGGCACAGCCTGTGGCAGGGAGGGGACGTGCCTCCAGGAGCTGCTCCCAGCTCCCACAGGGGCTCTAGAAATCCTCTTCAGCAGAGCCGTGTTTGTGACTGTGTGTGTGCCACTGCTGGGCTGGAGCCCAATGAGGCAAGTAATTCCCAAATTATTTTTGATCACTTTTTCAATTGGAGGCGAATAATGGAGCTGTAATGAGTTGTTACAGGGGTGAGCAGGGAACCTGCTGCTCCAGCCTGGCCCCTCAGGAAAGCTCCTTGGGCAGCTGCTGTTGTGGGATAGAGCTGGTGATTCCTTGTCTGCAAAGTTTTGCTAAAAAGACACGAGGTCTGGTGTTGAAGACAGCTCCAGTGGCCCTGGGGATGTCTCCCCTGTGTCCCCAGGATCGGTGCTGGAGCACACTGGCACTGAGGCAGCTCCCAGTGGGGTGGCACTGGAGCCACCCTGACCTGCAGCAGCCCATCCCAGGGCTGTCAGGAAGGGAATTCCTGCCCTAAGGGACACTTCTGGACCAGCCTCAGGTCAATCCCAGGTGCTGTGACATCCCCTCCTCACCTGCAGCCCCAGCCTCAGGCTGTGGGTGGTGGTGACAGTGCCAGGCTGGGCTGGGAGGGGAGAGCAGGGCAGGGCTGGAAGGAGTTGTTGTAAATAGATTGTCTTCCATAACTCTCATGCAACATTGATGGCCGTGTATTAAAATTAACCCCAGTGTAAATGAATGAAATACTAACAGTCATGATTAGAATGATTGCTTCTTTCTTTTTTTGTTGTTTTTTTTTAAAGATGGAATGATAAATGTGAACTTGGGGTGTGGGAAGACATTGGGTTAAGGTTTCTATTTTTTTTTTTTTGACATTTAATTCTGTAATAGAAATTTGTTACTTCATTCCTGTGCATAACTTATTTAATGTCCTGTATAAAGGAACCCAAACTGTTACAGATGTATTTAGTTTGTTCTACTCTCAAAAGTAGTCAATAAAAAGACTATATTCATCCTCCAGCTCCCCCTTCTCTATGGGAAGGGGCAGAGATTTTCAGCAGTGCTCAGGCAGCTCTTGGGGTTTTTGGGGAACACTGCCACAATCTTGGCCTTGGCCAGGGGACTTCTAGGGTCAAAAATTGCCCCCGCTGTGGTGGTGATGCTGGGGGCAGAGCCTGGGAGCAAGTGCAGGCAGAGCTGGAGTTCAGCCCTATCCTCAGTGATTTCTTTGAATTTATGGCTCAGTGTGTTGTTTTCCGAGCTTTTTTTAAATGATTTATTTTTATGTGAGCACAGAGCAGCCTGCAAGGTGCTGTCTCAGCTGGCTGCCACTGCCAGCCCTGTGCCCCCCCGGGCTGCCCCCTGCCCACACCTTGGCTTCATCTGAGAATTTTGGTCTCCAGGCTGCTGCCAACATTCATCCAGTGGTGAAGAAACCCAAAACTGAGGGGTGAACCCCACACGGGGCTGGGGAGGCAGCTCAGGAATCCCAAACCAGTGCCTGCTGCAGCTCTGCCCCTGTGGCTGCCCCCCTCTGACCCAGCCTGGCTGTGCCCTGGCACAGCCTGTCCCCTCCTGATGGCCCAGGCTGCTGCATCCCTGCATCCCTTGTTTGTCACTCCCTGGAGCAGGAATGTAGGGCCCCATGGGCACAGCAAATCCTGGCTTTGGCCAGGGACAGCAGCAGGGATTGATCATCAGGCAAACAACGGGGTGCCTGGGGGGTGGGTCCCCATGGGAACAGGGCCAGGCTCTGCCACCCCACCCCTGGGAGGGCCATTTGTGGTTTGGGTGCTGAGCCCGCCTGGGTGGGGTGTGGCAGTGCCCAGCTGGGCTGGCAGCAGCAGCTGCTGTCCCTCCAAGCAGGAGCTTCCCTGATCCCATCTCTGCAGCTTGTTCCTGGCATCAGCCAGGTCAGCCTCTGGCACCCCAACCAGGCAGCTTCTGCTGCAGCAAAACCAACTCCCCAAAAGCCAGTGACCCCTCCTGTGCTGTCACCCCTGGGGCCAGGGGTGACACCGTGTCACACCCACCCAGCACAGGGTGCCTGAGGGGTCCCCAGGAGGCAGCTGCACCCACTGCCCCTTCGGGCACAGCTTTTCCTGCCTGCATCCAGGGACTGGGGCAGAAACACCCAAATTAATGTCTCTGGTGGAGCAGCACCCGCAGGGAGTGGGAGAAGAGGTTGGGGGTGGTAGCAGGTCCCGGGTGAGTGAGGATTTGGGGTGCCACGCTGGTATTGAGGACAGGCAGGGGCACAGGGATGATGTTCTCCAGGCCAGCAGGGTGGCTGCTGTCCCTCCTGTCCCCTGTGCCCTGCCACTCCCTCCACACTGGCTGTGCCAAGGCATTTCTTCCCAGCTCAGCAGAGGCTCTGCTGCTGCAGCACCACCAAGGAAACCGCCAGTGCCACCCTGGAGCAGGTGGGATCTGCTCCAGCCTTCCCCCCTCCCTTCGTGCCCCCACCCCAGACCCCTCCCCATGAACTCAGCTCCAGCTTCTGGCACCACTGCCCAGTGCCAGGGCTGGTTTCTGGGCACTGAGGAAGCAGCAGCCTGGAGCCACTCTGGCCTTCCCTGGGAGTGGGATGTGCTGGGGACAGGCTCAGCTGTGGGCACAGCTGGTGGGGCACAAAGCCAACCTCGAAGCCACGGCGCCTGCTGCCAGCGTGGCAGGGCATGAGCAGGTACCCCTTGCCAGAAGCACTTCATGAAATATTTTTTCCCTATAAAACACTCTCCACAATCCATATCAGGCCACCTGGCTCCCCGGGCAGGATGTCACAGCTGGCCAGGGCTGTGTCCCCCTGCCCATCCTGGGCAGCCTCAGCGCCAGGAGGAGGAGGAGGGGCTGAAGGCTCCTGGGATGCAGCACCAGCAGTGCTCCCCCAGGGGCCAGGCTGCCACCCCAGCCACGGCTCCCCCAGGCAGCTCGGACACTGGCTTAGGAGCAGGATAGAGAAATAAATTAACATGAGAAGAGCAAAGGAGCAAAACACTGGCCGGGCAGAGGCCACAGGAGGGAATGGAGGGACAGGGAGGTGACAAAGGGGACAAAGGCTGTGCCCAGGGCTCCAGGTCCTCCTGCATGCTGATGGGTCCTGGAGACGCTGCCCCGGGTCAGTTGTTGTTCATGATCCACCAGGAAGCTGGGAAGAGAGGGAAAGCAGGGAGGTGAGGGCAGTGGGAAACTGGAAATGGGGATTTGGGGTGGCAGAGATGGGGGACCTCACCCTGCAGGTCCCTGGCTCTAAAGCACCCACCCCACCCCGGGCAGGGAGCCTGGAGAGGGGAGATCCCCTGGAACTGTGGCAACTTCTGCAGGAGAGCACTGGGAATGTGGTCAGCGGGACTGGCAAGTCGGGAGCAGCAGGCTTCAGTCCAAATTAATCCTTGTTTTATGGACTAATATTTTACAAGACTCTGAAGTGATCCCTGAAAGCAAACCAGGGCTGACTTTGGTTCCCAGTTCCCACAGCTGGTCCCATTGGTCCCCTGGGAATGTGCACGGTCCCTGTCTGGCCTCCCCTGCCCCAGGGCTGGGCTGTGACCCTGCACACAGCCCCTGGCCTGGCAGCACCAGCGCTTTGCAGAGCACGTTCAGGGCTCAGAGGAAACACAAATCGAGGCACCAGGTGTATTTGGGACAGGACTCAGCTTATCTGCTACCCAGGCAGTGTCCCTGCTCCTGGCTGTCCCCACTGGAGAGCACCCTTGGGCAGGGACAGACCCCAACTCACACCCAAACCTGCTGGGGACAGCGTGTCTTACCCTGAGGCTTGAAAAACCTCATTTAGGTCACCCCAAAGCAATTTTCTGCTCTGAAGGGAGCCACAATGCCTGCTCCTGCCCTGTGCAGCACCCCCAGAGCAGCACGGAGGCACCCTCACCTGGGAAGAGCATGGTGGTCAGCAGCTCCGGGGACTCCAGCAAGCTGAGGATGGACTGCTGGAAAGTCTTGCTGCAGCTGGACTGCAAGTGGCTGTAAAACAAGGTGAAGGCTCAGGGGATGTGGTGCCAGGGCCCTCTGCCCACACACAGGGACAGGGCAGCTTCTGCACCCCAGCACCAGCCCCTGCTCCTGCCCGGCTCCCCAAGTCCTACATCGGGGTGTTCACCCCTGTGAGCTGCAGATGGGGCACACAGGGCAGAGCAGTGGCACAGGCTGGGCAAGGGAAGGGAGCAGGGGGCACCCCTTTGAGCCCCCCAGCCCCACACACGGGCACTGCCCCACCTTCTCCAGGAGGTCACGTCCTGCCAGAACTCGTACAGGATGAAGCAGGCCTCGTCCGTCAGCTTGCAGGCAGAGACACTGCGGGGACAGAGCGACCCTGAGCCGGCTGGGCAGGCTGGCACAGCCCTGGCACAGTCCTGGCATGGCCCTGGCACAGCTTGGCACAGCCCTGGCACAGTCCTGGCATGGCCCGGCACGGCCTTGGCACGGCCCTGGCACAGCCCTGGCACGGCATGGCCACGTGTGCCCATCAGCCTCCCCACGGGGCTCCCCAAGCCCAGTCTGGCTGCATTCACACTTGGTGAACAGCTCCAGAGGATCCCAAACCAAATCCTGCTCCACAGCTGCTGTGCCCAGGGGCCAGAGGAGCTTTCCAGCTCTTACACTGCTCTTTGCTGCTGCCCAGGAGCCAGCACGTTCTGTCTTTTATTATTTCTTATGCCTCCCCAGCACTGAAACAGCTCATCCTCCCAGCCATTCACACAGGGGGAAAACGAAGCAACGGGGCAGGAGCTGAGCTCACAGCACAAACCCACAGCTCTCTGTCCCCAGAGTGCTGCTTCCCACATTCCCTCGTGCCCAGGAGAGGCCGGGGCTGCTGCTGGGGAGGCAGCCAGGGGTGACTGCGGTGCTGGGGGTGCAGGGGAGGGGAAGCAGCTGTGCTGGGCTGCAGCAGCAGCAATTCCAGCTGAGGAGCAGCCTTTCCTGCAGCTGCTGGAGGGGGCCAAGCCCATTCCCAGGGGGGACAGCACAGCGTGTCACCCAGCAGCTCTGAGGCCGTGTCCCCTGCTCCCACATGGGCTCTGCCATTCCCTGGAGGGACCCAGCCCCACGGAGCATCCCCAGGCTCATGGAGTGTCCCCGGGCTCATGGAGTGTCCCCAGTCCCACAGAGTGTCCCCAGCCCCACAGAGTGTCCCCGGGCTCACGGAGCATCCCCAGGCTCATGGAGTGTCCCCAGCCCCATGGAGTATCCCTGGGCTCATGGGGTGTCCCCGGGCTCATGGAGTGTCCCCAGCCCCATGGAGTGTCCCCAGGCTCAGCTCCAGCTTTGGGCTCACGTGGAGCGCCAGCCCACGAACGCCACCCCGCTGTCTCCACAAATAGCCCTGATGACAAAAAAGCCCATCAATTCCAAAGGAAAAACCTCCCATTCTCTCCACCACACGTGTCACAGCGAGCATCTTCCTTTTGTTTGGACTGAAAATGTGAATTTGTGCTGTTGAACGTGAAGAGCTGAGAAAGGACTCTCGAAACGGGAACAGCAGGAACGTTCCCTGCTGCAGGCGGCCCGGAGTGCCCCGTGGGACAGGGGAAGGCAGCAGCTGTGCCTTCGGGGCCAGGCTGGCACTGCCATGTCCCTGCAGGCACAGCAGGGCTCTGGGCAGCCTTGGCCTCACCCAGGGGCAGCCTCAGGTGCTCGTGGCAGCTTCCCACGGGCTCTCCATCAATCAGAGCTCTGCAGGAGCCCTGCCCTTGACCTTCCCGTTGCTTTTGAGTCCTTCAGTGCTGGAGGAGCTCGTGTTTCTCTTACAGGAGCAGCCACAGCCACTCCTGCAGGCACAACCCCCCACCCCTGGCCAGGCACTGGTTCTCACTGGGAATCCCTGCAGCAGATGGGATGGCACTGCTGCAGCCGTGGCACCATCCTGCCTGCCAGCTCCGAGCCCAGCCCTGCCCTGGCCAGCACACAAAACACTCCACACAAACCCTGGCGTCCCCCGAGGGTGTTAAAACCCCCATTTCTGGGGGGACACCTCCCAAAACACCCCCAGAGCACCCCACTTACTGCAGGCAGCTGCTGTGCCCGGCCGTGCCCTCGGTGTAGGAGCGGAACGCCTGCCGGAACTCCTCGATGCCGCTCGTGGCCACCGAGATCTGCCTCTTGGCCACCAGGATGTGCTGCCGGGGGACAGCAGGCGTCAGGGGCTGTCCCCTCCTGCCCTCCCTCCCCCCCGTGTGCCAGCTGTGCCACCACCGTGCTGGGGACAGCGGGGACACAAAGCAGCCCTCCCCACAGGGCAGGCTGTTCTTGCAGGGAGCAGCGGGGATGCTGCAGCCCCCGTGGGGGTCCTGCTGCAGACCCCCACGGAAAGGGGCCTGGGCACCCCCACCGGCTCTGTGGGCACTCCTGGAGTGGTTGCATTGCTCTGGGCTGGCAGGGGGCACTGCCCGCGGCTGGCAGGGACACGAGGGAGCTGCATTTGTCCCCTGGAGGGTCCCAGCCCTGAATCCAGCCTGCTCAGAGCTACAGAGCTGCCCAGGCTGGGCACAGGGGCAGCGTGTGACAGAGGTCACTGCACACCACGGGGACAGGGACACGGACAGGGACAGGGACAGGGACAGGGACGGGGACAGGGACACGGACAGGGACGGGGACAGGGACAGGGACTTACTGCATCCTCTCCTTTGCACATGGCTTCCTCCTTCAGCGGCTCCAGGCGCGGGCTCTGCATTAGCACCGGGGAAAAAGCAGATTTATCGTGACAAAACAGAGTTACCGGGAAACACCGGAGGTACCTGGAGAGTTCTAGGCAGGACAGGCACAGACTCCAGGGACAGCCGGGTGCCACCCAGGGACACCCCTGTGGTACCCAGGGGAGGGCAGGCTGTGCTCTGCACACCCGTGGGGTCAGTGGGGCCGGGGGGACTCCTCAGCACCCCGGGGAGGCAGGAGAGGTGAGCAGAGCTGCGGGGGAAGGGGTGCAGGGTGCAGCTCTGTGACAATGGCAGGGCTGAGGAGGGGGGCTGCTGGCACGGGAGGGAGTCCCAGCACTGATGTGGCCGTGCCCAGGTGTGGGGCACCCCCTGGGCACACACCTTGCACTCTAGCTTCTCGATGATCTGCTGGAGCCTGTTGATCTGAGCCATCCACTGGCTGTTGTCCTCGACACAAACACCTGCAGGGCAAAGGGCACAGAGGTGTCACCCAAAATAAGCTCAGCTTTGACATGGCCAAAGCTGGCTCAGGACCCAAAACCCACAAAATCATCTAAACCCCTGATTTCATAAAAAAATAATAGATTTTTTTTTCCTACTCCTCAAGAGATAAAACATCCCCCAGAAGTTCCAGCTGGAAGCTGGACAAGATGCACCAGGCTCCATCCTGAAGAAGCCCTCACTGCCCAGTGCTGCTGGAGATGTGGCACTTGGGGACACGTGTTAGTGGTGGCCATGGCAGTGCTGGGAGAACTGTTGGACTCGATCTTGGAGATCTTTTCCCACCTCACTGATTCTGTGATTCTGTGCTGGTCCCACACCCCCTCCGGGCTGCAGCAGCACACAAAGAACCTGGGGAACAGCAGGTACCTGTGGTCAGCATCCCAGAGTAGGGGTCTGCTGGGGACAGGCAGATGTTCTTCTGTCCCCTGCGCCCACACCGCCGCCCTGACCTCGGGCCGACCGAAGTCTCCGGTTTCTTGATCTCCTTTCTGGAATTAAAAGCAAAACAAAGCAAAAGGAGGGGTTGAAGTCATTCCTAGAGGTGTCAGCTCCGCTCTGGGCTGGGAGAGGGCTCCTGGCTGTCCCTCCCAGTGAGGAGGGGCTGGGGACAGGGGGCAGCAGGTCCCAGCCCGGTACCTCTCCCGTCCCGCCTGCTCCTCCACCGTGTCCACGGCGCACTCGAGGGATGCCTGCAGGGACTGCAGCTGGTGCATGGTTTCCCGCAGCAGGAACCGCGTCAGGAACTGCTCCATCTTCGAGGCTGTCTCGTACCTCTGGGGGAGAGGAGAGAGGATCTGTCAGCTCTGCCAGATCTGCCTCTGTGCAGGGGCAGCAGAGCCACGCCTGGGAAGGGCAGTCCCGTAATTAAACCGAACGGGGTGAGTTTCAGTCAAATCTGAATTATCACCAAAAGTGACACTTTGAGGGCAGAAGTGAGGCTGTGGGGCACAAGAACCCTCGGGGTGCCTTGCTGTGAGATCACAACGGGGAATGCAGCCACGGTTCCATGGGCACCCCTGTCCCAGCACCCACAGCCCTGGCCCGGCTCTGCCAGCTCCAGGAGCCGTGCAGGACACATGGACACAAGCCACAAGGCAAAGGTCATTCTCAGGGACAGCCCCAGCCCCGGGGAGGGCCCCAGGGCTGGCACAGCACCCCTTGTGCCACCCGCTCACAGCCTGCTCTGCTCACTGCAGGGCTTGGGGACAAGGCTGGGAGCCCATGGTGGCCCCTGGGTGCTGGCAGCTCCCCCAGGGACCCCCCCACCACTGGCAGGCGCAGGCAGGAGCTGGCTTTGTGCCCTCCCTGCCCAGGGAAACAGTGCCAAGCCTGTCTGCTTCCATGAATTTCTGACGTATGCTTACACTGGGCATGTAAAAGTGCATCCAGAGGGGCACGTGAGAAGCTTTGGGGAGAACAAAGGGGTCACCTGGCCTGGAGAATGCCCAAAGAACAGGTCAAGAGGCACACCATACCACAGGAGCAGGTCTGGGAGGCACAGAGAGGCAGGGAAGAGCCTGGACACACACAGAGGCACCCCAAACCCCTGCCTTTCTCTGCCAGCTGGGATCACAGATCTCTCAGCTCCTCTCCATGTGCTGTGGGCTCTGCTGGCAGCAGCGTTTGCAGAACCATAGGATGTTAAGGGATTGGAATGGACCTCAGAGATCATCCAGTTCCAATGCCCCCTGCCATGGCAGGGATACCTTCCACCATCCCAGGCTGCTCCAAGCCCTGTCCAGCCTGGCCTTGGCCACTGCCAGGGATCCAGGGGCAGCCACAGCTGCTCTGGGCACCTGTGCCAAGGCCTGCCCACCCTCACAGTAAAGAACTTATTGCATTTAATACCCAGCATAAATTTCCCCTCTTTCAGTTTGATCCCATTCCCCTTGTCCTGTCACCACAGCTCCTGACAAAGAAACCTCTCCCACTTCCCTGCAGCCCCTTCTCTCACTGGAAAGGCGCTGTGAGGTCTCCACACAACCTTCTCAGCCCCATCTTTCTCAGCCTGTCTCCAGAGGGGAGGTGCTCCAGTCCCCTCAGCAACTCTGTGGCCTCCTCTGGAATTCCTCCAACAGTTCCGTGTCCTTAAGCTGGAGACACCAGAACTGTGAACAATATTCCAAATGGGGTGCCACAAGAGCAGAGTAGATGAGAAGAGTCACCTCCTTTGACCTTCTGGCCCCTCTCCTTCAGGTACAGCCCAGGATTTGGACCAGCCACTCAACTTTCCTGTCCAGTGATCACTTGCTTTCTCAAAACCACCTCAAGTTCTGTCCTCGCACTGTTAGAAAACCTCTGGGGACGGAGACAAGGTACCCCAAGGTACAGCGAGACGGGGAGCGAGGAGCCAGCAGGGACGTGCCCAGCGCAGACAGCAGAGGGGCTGAGCCAGCCCCCTTGCAGAGCAGCCGCCTGGGCCCGCTTTGCCCTCACAGCCCGCTCTCGTCCCACCGCAGGGCCCGGCAGCCCTGGAGCTCCAGCCATGCTGCGGCCCGCGGTGGTGATCGACAGCGGCAGCCGCTGCACGCGGGGCGGCTTCGCGGGCCAGCCGCGGCCGCAGTGCGAGCTGAGGGCGGCGCCGGGGCGGGCCGGCCCCGCCGCGGGGAGCCCGCCCCGCCGGGCCGCGGCGCCGCTGCAGCACGGCCTGGTGGCGGACTGGGACGCCGTGAGGAGCCTGTGGAGCCACCTCCTGCGCTGCTGCCTCGGAGTGTCCCCAGAGGAGCACCCGGTGCTCCTGGCCGAGTCCCCGTCGTGCCCCGCCGCGGGCAGGGCGAAAGCGGCCGAGGTGCTGTTCGAGAGCCTCGGGGTGCCCGCCCTGCACGTGGCCAACAGCGGGCTGCTGTCGCTCTGCGCCCACGGCCGGGTCACCGGGCTGGCCGTGGAGGCCGGGGCGGCCGTGTGCCATGTCACGCCCGTCTGCGGGGGCCGGACGCTGCGGCAGGGCACCCGCCGCCTGGGGCTGGCCGGGGACCACCTGTCCGGGCACCTGCGGCGGCTGCTGCTGCAGAGCCCCGCCGAGCCCGCGGCGCTGCAGGCGCTGACCGAGAGCGCGCTCAGCCAGCTCAAGGAGCGATGCTGCTACGTGTCCTTGGACTACGAGGCACAGCTGCGGGACGAGGGCTCCCATCACCCGGCCAGCTTCCAGACCCCCGACGGGCGCTGGATCACGCTGGGCAAGGAGCGCTTCTGCTGCCCGGAGCCGCTGTTCCGGCCGGAGCTGCTGCAGCACAGCGGCCCCGGGCTGCACCAGCTGGCCGGGCACAGCCTGCGGACCGTGCCCCGGCACGCCAGGAGGCCCGTGCTGGGCAACATCGTGCTCTCGGGAGGCTCCTCCTTGTTCCCCGGCTTCCCCGAGAGGATGTGCCTGGAGCTGAACCTCCTCTTCCAAGGAGCGGGCCTCCACATCGAGGTGCTGGCGAACCCCGGCAGGGGCACGGCAGCCTGGGCTGGGGGCTCCATGGCAGCCTCGCTCACCTCCTTCCAGCACACCTGGATGACAAAGGGCGACTACCAGGAGCACGGGGCCGAGTACGTGCACGCGAAATTCCACTAGAGAGGTGGCAGCCATGCCACTGTGTCACTGCTGGAGTGACTGGAACGCTGCCCTGCAACGAGGCGGCTGCAGCAGCGCTGCCCGAGCGGCTCCTGCGCTGCTGCAGGGGTGCAAAGTCAATTAAAGTGCCCTAAAAGAACCAAAGGGCTTTTCACTGACACTCCAGGTTATTTCCTATCTAACAAGGGTGTGTCCCGTGGGGCTCAAAAACAGCTGGGGCTCATGCTGGGGATGCAGGCCATGCTGACTGCCTGGTTTGGGTGCATTCAGGCAATCTCAATGCTCCAGGCTGCCTTTCCCAACTGGAAATGCAGCTGCCAGGATGAAGAAGGGACCTTCTCCAGGTGTCAGCGCTGCAGGACCCCCAAGGGAAGCCATAAGTGCAGGAGGAAGGAGCTGAGCAGGGGAAGGTCCACACAGCACCTGCACTGCAGCCACTTACTGCAGGAGGTGATTCCTCATCCTGGCACTGGAACAGGTCAGCACTGGCTGAGGAAGATGAGCTGAAAGCCAGGGAACTGCTTTCACTCCTTTAATTTAGCTCTTAAGGTCGTTTGGTGCCTCAGGGAGCCGATTCAGCTCCCCGAGAGGCATTTCCTCAGCTGGCTTTGCTGCTGCCTGGCTGAACGGCCTCAGCCCGGCAGATGATTAGAAAGGGATCAGAGGTTGTGAAGGCAGCAGCTGGGGAACACAGCCCAGCTGTCACAGCACACTCCTGTCCCCATGGCCAGCCCCGTGCCAGCTCCTCAAGGGACACAGAAACCACAGGATGTCACCGTGAGCTCTGACAGAGACAGGAGCAGCAGTGGGAGGGCGAGGAAGGAGCCTCCACATGATGCAGGAGGGCTGGTTGCTCCCTAGGAGCATCCACCAGGAGAAGTCCACCCCTTCCTCAACAAGACAAGGCTGGAGCAGCATCCCTGCCTTCCCCGTGGTGTCCTCGTGTGACCCCAAGGCTGCAGCATCCAGAGCTACCCTCACCCCCCCAGGCTCCATGAACCATGTCCAAAATAATGTCCAGCAATGCCACCCCATTACTGGGGTCAAATATTTCCAATTCCTGCTGCGTTTCTCTCCAGCACACTGAGAAGCTGGAATTCCAGAAGCTCTGCACAGAAGGATTTCATTGTAACCCTTCCACTGCTGGTGTGAAAGAAAGGGAGCGGTGGGGGGGGGTCCTGAGCCCCTCTTGGTTTTCTGGTTGCTCTGTGCCAGTCCAGGAGCTGTGTCTGACTGGGCACAGCTGTGGCTGAATGGGAAGGGAAGGGAAATGGAGAGAGTGGAGAGGATGGATGCTCATCCCCAAAGCTCTGGAGTCAGCAAAGGATGGTCACAGCCTCCCCTCCTAGCACCAGGGGCCAGGGAGATGGGGGTTTCATCCCTGCTGGAAAATGAATCTCATTTTCCTCTCTCGAGAAGAGGGTGGCAACAACACTGACAAGATGCAGCCACAGCAAACTGAGTTCCAGCTCTACACCTCCAGCCTCTCCCAGCCAAGCATCCCACGTGTTCCCACAGAGCCTTCCTTGCTCACAGCCCCAGAAAAGGAGAGCTCAGGGCTGGGGATCCCTGCCCACCCTTCCCCTCCTCATGCCAGGGTGTGCAGGCACTGAAATCCCTGCCAGCACTGCCTCTCTGTGCCTGCCCAGCTCCTGCCAGCCTGGACTCCTTCCCTGCTTGAAGGGAACAGGAGACACTCCAACCTCCCAGGACACACCTGCAGGGAGTGAGTCCCCAGGGGGGCACAGCAGGAACATTATTCTCCCACCACATAGCCTTGCACAGTCTGCTTTGATGCCTCAGGGTTTAGCTTTTATATTTTTCAGACCCTGTGCTGCTTCAGTGTGTACTTCTGAGGCTCCTGCTATGGGATGCTGAGCTCTCTGCACAGAGCAGAGAGACAAAACAATTCCTGCTCCAGCTGGGCACCAAGGACAAATGATCCAAATCTCAGCCCAGGAGCACAAACACCGTGGGCTGGAGAGAGAAAAACAAGCAGGATGGGACTGCCTGGGCTGAAGCTGGAATGGGACAATGAACTCCAAGGTGCCAATGGAGCAGAACTGATCCCAGGGAGAGCCCCCGGGAGCGCTCGTGCATTTTGGGACCATTTTGGGTCATCTTGGGTGCAGCCCTGGCTGGGCTTTGGTGCTGCCCAAGGTGGATCCATGGAGGCCTCCTAGTAAATCCCTATTTTATTCTTTCGCTCTGTCCAGTCCCTGTTCTAGGGCAGCCTGCACAAGGCATCAGTTTCACTGCCCAAAATCCAAATCCAAGCCCTGTCATGCCTCTGGCACCACCGAGGGCCCTTCCCCCAGCAAGCAGCCAAATGAGGCGCTCCCATCTCTGAGGTGTCCTCCAGCCCTGCCACAGCCTGGGCACACAAACACTTCCCCTGGCCTGGGGCTTGGAGGCTTCTCCCCAAGCACATCACTCCCCTTCCTGTGGGAATTTACTTAGGTTAGTAATTTCATTTTTCGGGGGTACTTGGGCAGTACAATTGTACTACAAACTTGTGTGTCTGTATATAGGATGATGGGGAGCAACATTTAATTATGGATTATTTAT